TCTCTGGTATTATGGTATTGACTTCAAATAACGCCGAAATAACTCCGCAATAACCCCCAATAACCTTCGCAGAGGTTATTAAAAGTTATTGGGAGAGGATTACACACAGAAAATTAGGTGTGTTTTTCATACGTAAATATTTCTCCTATAACCAAGAGATGGTTTGGAATGTACCTATGCTTATCAAAGATGATAATATATATTTTTGCTTTTTAAAAAGTAGTCCTTTTGCTTTTATATTCACCGAGGTCCTATGACTAGACTACCACTTATCAACGAATTGAATTTCTTTTTTTGGTAGCTTGAAATTCCTTTTGGACGTCTCCAAAACTCGTCGCCGCATCACCGAGCATTTGTAGTGTTTGAAGGAATATATACGCCACCTTCAATATGCTCACAAATATGTTTTAAGGATATAATACATTATTTGCCATATATTTGGCAAGGGAATGAGGAATAGTATGTTGAAATGTCTTTGGTGCAATTTCTTTTTGTATAGAGCCCTTATGATATTAGGTTAGAAATTAGCTGTGTTTCATGTACTACTTACTCAACATTAGGCTATCATGATGCATAAAATATTGTAAGTAAGTGATGAGGAGATGAGAATATTACGTATGAAGTCTTACAACGGTTACGACGTGTATAACATATACAATGAGTTCAACGACAAGCGCTTGAAAACGATTCTTAGAAGTTTTAATCAATTAATTAATTAATTTATTTTTATTTAAATTGAGCAATGGTATCGGATGAAATTAAGATAAATTTATATTTCCGTGTTTAAGTGCTTTAATTTGCTCTGTTATTTTAATTATTTTACCAAACGCCTCTTAAAGTTACTTAGAAACATGACTTTTATGAATTTTTTTTACAAATTATCAGTGAACAAAAATGTTGATAAATTTTGACACAAAAAATGTTGAAAAATAAATATAAAATTGATATGCCATCAACAAAATTTTATTATTTGACATGAATCTCGAGACATATTTTAAGAAAAAAAATTTAAGCTCAAATTAAAAATCATCCATAATTTCAATTTCAACAAATGTATAGTCAAATTGACCGGTTCTATGAGATGGATCCAATGACACCAAAATTGATCCAACAAATGAAGCCCAGATCAAGCTATTAAACAACTTTTGAGTGTTTTGGGTGGTTAATTGAAGAGTCAAATGAAGTCTAAATCTGATAAGTTTATAGTCAAATTGAGTATCCCACTGAGACAGATCCAACGAGCCCTAGATCACTTAATTCAAATATCATTAAAGCACTTAAATGCCCACAAAATACCATCTGATCTAGATAATCTTTGGCCATATGATGGAGTGATCCAGATTCATGCATTATTTACAAAGAATGCCACTCCAAAAATCTAAAAACAGTGCTATTCCCTCTTGTTGAAAGTGGATCAAGATCTGAACTAAAAGAGGAGAATGAACCAATTTCTAGGGTTATTCTAGACCAAAGACCCAACAAAGTTACTGGCCATTATTGACCACCGCCCACAGGTCAACGCCAACCATTGTAGGTTGCCTCTAGCTTCTCGCATGTGGTGAACCTTGCGGAGTAACAATATACATTGCGAAGTAACGAAACACCATGCAGAGTAACGACGTATGTTGCAAAGCAATGAAATACCCCACGGAGTAACATAGTGTCCTAAATACCCTCCAAAGGCGTACCTCACATCACCAATAACTCTCTGTAGCAACTGCTCCCAACAATCCTGCGTATGTACATTGTATTTGGAGAAACCTTGTAACCGTTTTAAGATTGTGGGATAAGGGTTAATATTTATACTCGCAAACATATAGTGGATTATTTTCACAAGATGTCATAAATATAGGTGTTTATATATATATATATATATATAAACA